TATTAATGAATTCCAAAAGGTTTGTAGTTGTAGATCTGTCTTGAATAAAACCATGTTGAAAAGGCGATATTATAGATTTTGTGAAATGGTTTAATCTGCGACATATCAATAGCTCAAAAAGTTTAGGTATAGCGCTTAGTTTTGCAATACATCTGTAATTTTCTTCTATTTCCAGATTTGTGAAGAGGGATAATATAACTAGATCGCCAGAATATTGGGAAATAACCCTGACGTAGAGATTCATTAAAGATCACAGTCAGAGGTAAATAAATTTCATTTACACAGGATTTAATAAGAGTGGGAAACGCCATAAAGATTGAAAGATATAAAAAGACTTTGGTTGTTGTTGTAGCAGTTTATATGAATTGTATATTTCCTGTTAAGTTTCCTCCCGTTCTGTCTCCAGATTTAGAAATGCAGCTACCTCCACTGGCTGTAACCACAGATCCTCCGGAGTAAGGTGAGTAGATTTGGCTGGGTAATTGAACAAGTGCAGTGTGGTATGAGGGCCTGTACCGCATGCTGGGCAGACATCCTGCACCTGGTCATCAATCCGTGCCCAATACGAATTGAGCCGACTGCACCATCCAGAACGTAACTGAGCCAAAAGTACTCTGGTTTGTCTGGGCAGCTGACGTTCCTCAGCTGCAATGGGTGGGGGGTGAGCTCCGAGGACGGCATTCACGTTGTAACCATTCAGCGCTGCATCTACTGCACCTAGATCAAATTGCCTATCAGACCTGCTCGATAGGCAACTTGATCTAGAGGATCTCTTTTGTATCGTTGGACCTCTCTCTCTCTAGATCATGCAGATCCTTCCTAATACGCCTGGGTGGGGGAGTCCTATCCACCATATGATGGTTGGGATGATCGTCCCTGAAAGCATATTGCTATGCTGACGTACGGGAAGGATCTTCGTCTCCTCATGAAGATGGTCCACAGGTGTCATGAGGAGGCACTCTGTCGCTGTCCTCAGGGCGGCATTCTGACAGGACTGAATATTTCTCCATTGCGTATCACTGGAATTCGCCGACCACACTGGAACCGCATAGCTGGCCACAGACCGACTTATCGCTTTGTAAGAGGTCAACAAGGTTTCCTTGTCTGCGCCCCAAGTGCTGCCGGCAAGCGACTTGAGGACCTTGTTCCTACTTTTCAGCTTATCGCAGATAGCTGTGGTTTGCGCGGACGACTTGAACATGCTGTCGAATGTGACCCCGAGTATTTTGGGGTAGTTAGTGGTGGGGATTGAATGCCCCTCGACCTGCACATTCAACGGCATTCTCATCTCCGCAGTCCATGTGGTGAATAGTGTGGCTGACGACTTCGAGGCGGATATCTTCATATTCCTCGTTTTGAAGAATGCACCGCCGGTTCTGGTTAAGGCCTCTACTTATATGCGTGGAAATGGCGTGTAACGCTGTTGTTGTACTGTGTTGCTTACGGAATCCATATTGATGATCCGCAACTGGATAGCTTTCTCTAATGCTGGGGAGGAGTAAAGCCTCAAGAGTCTTCGCTAATGGCGACAAAAGTGAAATCGGCCTGTACGATTCACCTTTGCTGGCATCCTTGCCCGGCTTCAGTAGCGGGACCACCCTGCCCATAGTCCAGGCCTCGGGGACGACGTGGGTGGCTATCGACAAGTTGAGGACGTTGGTCAAGTACTCGACTCCTGGCTCGTCCAGCTGCTTCAGCATACACATGGAAATTCCATCAGGGCCCAACGCTTTAGATGACTTCGCGTTACGGATGACACACACATGACATCACCCATCGTAAACTGTGGTGGTACCTCCTCGGCTGGAAGAGATCTTATACGACGAAGTATTCTTCTCTTCGCCCTGTCGCTCTCGGAATGCTCGACAAACTGTCGGTTAAAATGACTCGCGCATCTCTTCGGATCAGTCACAGTTTCGTCGTTAAATGTGACTGAGGTCCTATCATCCTTCTTACCAGGGTTCGAGAGCGACTTAACCGTTGCCCACAGTTTACTTACTCCGGTACCAATGTTGCAACTCTTGAGGTGCTCCAACCATTTATTCCGCTTGTGCTCCGCGACTAATCTGCTGACCTCCAACGTAAGTTTCCTGACCCTGGGATCTGCTGGGTTAGATCGACAGAGCTCATCACGCTCATTTGCCAGACCAACTGCTTCTGCTGGGAAATTGGGTCTCATCTCGGGAATTCGACCAGCAGGTATAAATCTAGCCGCTGCAGCAGTGATGATGCCTCGGAATTTCCTTTCTGCTACCCGTACATCAGAAAGAATGGAAAGTTCTCTGAAGCGCTGGTTGGTGAACTCTTTGAATCCTTGCCAGTTGGCTTTCCTATGGTTAAGGAAAGTGCGGCGTTCAGAGATGACGAAATCGGGCGGTCTGCTGATGGAGACGATTATGGGGAAATGGTCTGAGCCAAGGGAAATGACGGGCTGCCAGCTGACGTCATTTATCAGACCCGGTGACACAATGGTTATATCTGGCGAACTGTGACATTCTCCCCTTATTCTGGTGGGGGCATCCTCATTTACCGTGCAGAACGTGGAGCTATCAATTTGTTCTGCCAGCACTGTTCCCCTCTGGTCATTACCTAGGACGGAGTGCCACAACTCGTGGTGGGCATTGAAGTCCCCTAGCACCAGACGGTTATTGCCCTCCAATAGAAAACTAATGTTGGGCAAATAACGCGGTTCACAGCTATTAATCGGCGGTATATACACGTTAAACACCTCTACCCCGGCAGTACCACATTTAACTGCTACCCCCATACATTCCATGTATGGGTCACTAGAGTCAAGCTCAAGCGAGATAGGCCTGTATTGAACAGAGTGGTGCATAAGGAACGCTAGGCCCACACCTCCACTTCTGGTGCGATCCTTCCTCAGAACGTTGTAACCATCACAGCGCTGTATGCTACAATTTTCATTGAGCTTGGATTCCTGCACCGCCGCGACCAAAATATTCTTCCGATTCATGAAATCCACTACTCATCTATTTTTCCTCGAAGACCGTTGCAATTAAATTGCAGAAACGATGCACTATCAGGGGTGGGAACAGCAACGTGCGGTGTTAAGTGCTGCATGCTTGGTTGCTGTTGAGGAGACTGCGATGGAGTTCCGTACTCTGACGAAGAGGACGACGACGTAGACGAAGACTCACAGGGGATTGCGCTGTCGCAGCACGAGGCAACGTAATCCCTATCGCTATAATCTCGCAACCGCGCCAACCCGGAACAATTCCTGAAGTGCACCCACTCCCTGCACCCATTACATCTCACCGACACTGACCTGTGGTGAATGATGTTCTGGCAAACCGAACAGAACCAAGGTCCGGGGTTTTCTTCGATCCCAGCACGGACCAAAAGAATCCGGAGCAAGCATTCCGGGATATGTTGCTCCCAAAACAGAAAAACAATACAAACATATATAACTGGGTTGGCAGCCGCTGGCTGAAATAAATTGGGTCAATCCGGTATCGTAGAACCCGCCGCCGTGGGATAGAAAAAAAACTTTGGTGCATCATTTACCTTAAATCGGACTAAAATATATATGGGAGTTATATCTAAATCTGAACCGATTAGCATTAGCATCATCATTTCAAACTTAATTCAGTACACCATGCCAAATTTCGTGCAAATCGAATGAAAAATGGGGGCTTTGGTGCGCCATTAACATAAAATCCGACGAAAATATATGTATATGGGAGCTATATCTAAATCTGAACTGAATTTCACAAAACTTTACACACAGCATTCTAGGCTCAATTTAGTATGCTATGCCAAATATCATGAAAATCTAAAGATATATAAAGACTTTGGTGCACCATTTACCTAAAATCGGACGAATATATATATGGGAGCTATATCTAAATCTGAATCAATATTTCCCAATTTTTCAATTAGGTTCTTTCATGGGTCAAATAAATCAGCTGTGCCTAATTTCATACCATTCGGATCATAAATGACCTTATTCAAGGCCTGGATGACCTTATTCAAGGCCTATAAATAAAGTCGTCCAGGGAGACCAGAAGTCCAAATTTTTGACATTAGACTTGAGGAAAAACAGCTGACTTTCGCTAGCTGGGTGACCCAAAGCCTATAAATAAGGTCATACAGAGAGATCACCTTGATATCAGCTTCCACTCAAGTTTGCTGTCAAAATCCATTATTGTGAATTGACTTCCATTATGAAAACGGGTGACCCAATGCCTATAAATAAGGTCGTCCAGGGAGACCAGCTGGATATAAGCTGCCTCTAAAGTTTACTGTCAAAGACCTTTATTGTGAATTGGCATCCATTATGGAAACGTAAACGAAGGCCAAATTTTTGACATTAGACTTGAGAAAAAACAGCTGACTTTAGTTAATAGGTCTTGAGGTCGTCCAGGGATACCACCTGGATATCAGATACTATTAAGTTTGCTGTTAAAAGCCATTTTTGTAAATTGACTTCTATTATGAAAACGTAAACAAAGTTCAAATTTTTTACATTAGACTTGATGGAAAGACCAAGTGGAAGACAACATTGCTGAATATGATCTTTCAAACTGGAAAAACTGCACAAAAGACCGACGCGCCTGGAAATCTTTTTTAAGCTCGGCTTATGGAACGAAAGTTCTGTCACACGCTAGCTAAGTAATACAAAAAATAGTTACAGAATTGCACTACAGACCTAACTAGTTTACTATTCGACATATTGTCCATAAATTTCAATTGTATTATATTATTAACTTAGAAACATCCAATTTTTATTATTATTTTAATTTATTGGCATATTAGCTTTACAATAACGTTCTATAACTTTATTTAAATCTTCGACTAGTTTTTTTATAATTTATTACAATTAAAAAAACCAACACCATTTTAACAATAATTTAATAATTTTTCTAGAACATTTTACTTAATATTTTTTAATTAATTATTATCCTATCTATAAATTATGTTTATAAAAAATATGTGTATATAGGTATATAAATAAATCTTTGCATTAATATTTCAACAAATTATTTACGTATGGGAAAATCCTTATTATTGACCACTCCATCTTTTCCATCAAATTTTATCGATTCATAATAGAATTTACGATGTACCCTGCACTGGACACCACACTTGGTTGAACCACAATTTTCACATTCATACCAACAGCCAGGACATTCGTCATCCAAGCAATCGCAAACATCTTTGCCGTTGTGACGAATCCGTCCATATTCATCGTACAGGCAACGAGAATTGGCACCCGCTTTACGTTTTGCCCGACGTATTTCTTGACTGCTGCTGTTGGTGTTATTGGATTCGCCAGGCTTTGGTCTTTCGCGTAGCGACATGCGTAAACCTTCTCTCCGATTTTGTTCCTTACGTTCGGCTGATGTTGCACGCGGCATTATTAGAAGTTTTTTTTTATTAACTAAGGCTTCTAAAAATAAGAGGGAGAGAAAGAAAATATTAATCATTATAATAATCCTCGATTTAAGGTCTTTTAAAGACCTCTGTTCTATATAAATGCCAATTGGTCTGCATAGAGTCCACAGGTATTTATTCAACATCAATTGATCTATATAGAGTCTGTAGGTCCTTTGAAGACAAATTGGCGTGTACAGAGAGGCATAGGTCTTGTAGGTCTGCATAGAGACCATAGGTCTTTGTAGATACCATAAGCCTTTAGGGACCATAGGTCTTTATAGAGGCATATTGGAGAGCATAAATAAATAGCTGTCTAAATCGACAGGAAGTTTATTTGGCTTAAGTCCATATGTAGTCCTTGGGGCTCTAAAAATTTTGTAATCAGGGCTTCAAATGCTTTGAAATATTATGAGGTCCCAACGGAACTTTGGAGGCCCATATACTGTAATCAGGCCCCCAAGGACTACATGTGGTAAAATGTTTACAACGATCCGTGAGGGGTCCCTAAACTAGACTTGTTCCAGCATTTCAAACCCTTAACAATGGGGGAAAAACATTTGTCCAACTAAAGTCTGTTTATATTTAAAAAGTGTTCTTGAATATTTTGGAGTTATTTTTTCCACTACCATCTATATAAATTTCTTGGAGTTTAAGTAAACCACGATCACCTACCAAGCAGATGTCCACAGAACTTGGCTGTTATAAAACATGCCTCTAAAATACATTTGAATATTGTGTTCAAAAATATATTGAATAATATTAGGTTTTAATACTTACAATTTAATAGGGCAGTATAATGACTAGCCAGGAGGTAGAAGGACTTCTTTATTTTTATTTTATAAATATTAACAAACAATAATGAATTTTCTAAAAATATAAACAAATAAAAAGTCCACTTTCCAACACTGAATTTTGTGTGTACTTCCATCTTAATGGAGACGGATGACAATTGTCGATTGACAATGTTTACACTGATGTCATTTGTCTGGATTTTTTTAAGATGATATGTTCGTTCGTTTACACATTAATTTGCACAAAGTATTACAAAATGTTGTTCGTTTACCAAAAGGTACAGTATAAAAGAGTGTTAAGCTACATTTACACGATTTAAGGCATTTTGAAGTCTTATCAAAATTTTGAAAATGTCTTTTGAAGACGTATTTACATATTTCAAAAATTTGATCAACATATTCTTTCAATATATTTCAAAATATTTTGGTCAAAGTTTGATCAAAATATTTTCAAGCTAATTTACACTGTTGGTAATTCTTTATATTGAAATTATTGACTTTGAACAGCTGTTTTGATTATTTTGAGAAATAGTTTAGCATTAATAACTATGGACGACGACATGGTCATCAGCATTTTTTAATATTGGAGGAAAAAGTAGCTGATAACAATGAAAAAAGAAGAAAACAAAATCAACATAGGGTTCGGCCTTTTCTTTTGGAAGGTGATGGTGTACTAGTCACCCCATTAATAGAAAAGGCCAATACTAATTTTAGGGAATCTATATGCCCCGGAGAACGCCTGACAATAACATAACATGCTGTCAAAATATTTCTAGTCATCAATATTGCCAGATGCGATTTTGATGGCTATTTACACGGCATCAATAAAATCTTCAAAAGTTTTGTTCAATAAATTTTGAAGAAATTTAGCTGTTTACACGAGTTTGAAGCATTTTGAAGAAACCAAGGTTTATTTAATAAGGTGTAAGTGACAATCATATGGTTTCAAACTTTTTTCTTTTTTTGTTTGTAAAGTAAATTGTCAAAAACATTTTCAATAACATTTCGATGTCAAAAATGGTCTTTAAATTTAGGATTTTTTAATAATAAAAATTCAAGAAAACTACATTCATAGAGGCGGGCGGAAAGGAAACCTAGGATTAAATCAGTTATAACCCCGTTCGCCGATTGGTCCACATATTTTATGTTATGTGTGGAAATCTATCCATAAATCCCAGCTACTCATAAAATCGAGAAGATTATGTTAGCCTATATTGAAATCGGTCCCTTGGTGCTTGTCACAATCCTCGGCGAAGGTTAAATACGCCTATGGAAAGATTTTATACGGTCAACACAATTGCCATGATTTAGTCTTTGACCGGGGATTTATGTTCTTCAATTTTTTTTAAGAAGGCAAGATTTTAAGGCACTCCATAGAAAAAATAGATTTTAATTCACAATATAAACAACATCACAAGGAGCAATGGGCTGCATGTGGGAAACTTAAAATTAATCGCGACCATGTCTTAAACTTTATTTTTTCACTAACCTAAAACCGCTAATAACCCAAGAATACACAAATTCATTAATTATTCCTCAAAGAATAGTTCTTGACAAAAATAAATTAATAATTGTTTTTGTTTATTTTTGTCAAAAACTTATTGTCAGCATGACAATTTAATTTCTATAACATGGTACAATTATAAAAGGTAACAGCAAATCCCAGCTGATTTGATTCCAACGTAATACTAGTGTCAATATGAATTTGACAAATTATGTTTTTAAAAATCACCCAACAGGAAAATTGGGAACGCATACAATTTGAAATTGTTCTTTATTAAATGTGCTCTGGTATTCAATTTACTCAATCTGCCTGCTGGGAAAGTTTGAGGAAGCAAATCTTTCTTCAAGGAATAACTTGCTATTCCCAGCATTTTCATATGTGTTACACATATATATGGCAATGGCTCAATTATAGGAAATATGTGGAAGCGATAGAAATATAAATTTGAAAGATTTTCATTCATGTTTTTCAATTTTTATTTTGAGGATTCGAAAATATTTCATTTTCAAAATAAAAATAACTTGATGATAATTTGTTTGTTTGTTTACATTTTTCTGTCAAATGAGTTGACACTAGTAGAACTTACAACAACAAATTTCCATGTGGTTGTTGTATCGTTTTTTGTACAACAACACTTGCTGTTACCTTCTATTATTATACCATGTTTCTATAACAAGAATGTTGTTTATGTAAAATACTAGTTGTTGTATCTGATGCATACACCTTATTAAATACACCTTGGAAGAAACCTTCAACCGTATAAATGAAGCTTTACTGAGTTATTGCAAATTCTTACAAAGAAAAATTTACTCAATTAGATTTTTTACTGAATTTTGTTCGCAAGATCTATTAATAAGGGTCAACTTATTAGCTAGTGAAAGACCGCTGATTTTTTTTTACGTATAATGTCAAAAATTCATTGTATCGGATTTCGTTAAACCAGTGGGTTTAAATTGCCTATTCAATTGTAAGGTAGGTTAACCCGGTAAAAAGATCTAATGTAAATACCGTTTAAAACTCTCTCCCATTCCCGTACTCAAAATGCTGCAATTTTTTTTTTAAATACAGAATGAAAACATCAAGTAGAATATTCTTAAAGGTTCGGGAACAGACTTATATTTAATATTAGTCCACTATTTCCAGTCTAAATTAGAGATTTGATTAAAAAGTACACAATTTCAGAAGAAGTATGATATAAATACATTTTAATATATTTATTTTCTGACACATATACCGAAATCGTATATATAAAAATACGTTTCTTATAGAAAACTAATAGCTACAGGTTTGTTCTTAATCAATTAGAATGTTTACCGATTATGAGAATGCATTCAAATGCAAAAAATAAATACAAATTGACAATAATGATTGCGAAAAATTACTAAAGATAAATAGGTCCACAAATTGTAAAAATATACAAATTATTAAAAAATGATAATTTTAAAATGATTTACCAAATATGGTTCAGAACATCATGAGACTCGTGACACATACACAAGGTAGGCCATAAATAAAATACCATATAGAAATTTAAAATAAATATTTCTTGCTTATAAACTAAAATACCACACCGAACATGCATTCCCAACATATTACACTGCGACAATATATCCATCCACCCATCCTCTCTATTTGCCAACCGGAAAATGTTTATTGCGTATTGTGGCATCTTTTCCATCGAATGATATCGACTCATAATAGAATTTACGATGTACCCGACACTGGACACCACACTTGGTGGAACCACAATTTTCACATTCATACCAACAGCCCGGACAGTCATCATCCATGCAATCGCAAATATCCTTTCCGTTGTGACGCATCCGCCCTACCTCATCGTAAAGGCAACGGGTATTGGCATTTAATTTACGCTTTAGTTTTCGTTTTTCAGGACGAGACGTCTTTTCGGTTTCGTAGTCATCCAAATAGCTGAGATCGTCGCTTCTTAGCCTACGTTCGGCGTGTAATTTGCGAGGTCGTTCTCGCAAGGACATTCGCAGGCCAGTGCTCTCCGAAAGATCAGTATCGGTATCCATTTTTATTTAAAAGATGAGAATTTAAATTTTTAGCAAAATAACAACAACAATAATTAATAAATACAATTACGATATGTATTTGTTTAGAAAGAGATGAAAGCGAGGCGTAAAAAGTTGTTTTTGCTTGATAGGGCACACAAATTTGCAAACGAAGTGAAGTAGGGTATACAAAGTATCCATTAAATTTTAGTGATCTGTAATTCGAGTTTGACACAGGCAACGAGTGTCTTCCTGTACACAAAAACTGGTAAAACTTTTAAAATGTTCACGGTTATTCAAGTAAATTTTTAAAAATAAACAAAAGTTTTAATAGTAAAGAAGTCAACTTAACATGCCAATCCTAAAGTCCTCTTATGTGTGGGATGTACGGCTGTCATTTGCAGCCGTTCACTCGGAGTAAAGGAAAGTGGAAAAAGAGGGGGAAGATATACACGAAGTTTAAAACAGTGTAGGAAAAATATTTATTTGGCCATTTCAAAGTTTCAACAAAACATAGGATCTGCTTAGGATCTATTTCGGAGAAGAATGCTAGATTATCAATTTCATATTTACCAAACTGTCGGTGTCTTCTGCTATTTCCTGATGGACACCTACAGAGTAAATGTTATATTGTTTCCAGCTCTTCATCATCTTGACATCGGTGACAATAATCCACTCCGTTAATGTCCTAAAGTGACCTGATATGACTTTTACATTCCTCTTAATATGAGACAGCAGCGAAGAAGTTCTACGGCGAGAGAGTTCTGGACATATGGTTTTGAAATCCTTTCCCTTAGGTTCGCCAAAGTCCTCATTTGGTATCAAATTTAGTTCAGATTAGTAGGAATTTCCAAAACTTCCTAAATAGCTCAATTCTACCCCCAACAGTGATCCTAACACCAACTGTCAAGATTCTAGCTCTATCTTTACACCCAAATCCAAATTTGATGTATAAAGTTTTAGAAATTTGTGCTAATTGATACCAAATGAGGATTTTGGCGAACCGAAGGGAAAGGATTTCAAAACCATATGTCCAGGATTCTCTCGCCGTTGAACTTCTTCGCTAACTCCAACTGTCAAAATTCTAGCTCTATCTTTACACCCAAATTTGGTACCATAATACGAATTTTCAAAATTTCTTACATACCCCAAACCTACACCTCAACAATGATCTTATTTCCAAATTTTAGGATCCCAGCTCTATTAGTTCACCCATATCCAAATTGTACTAATTATAGTACGATTTAGTACTTTTCGTACACATAAGTAAAACATTTCCAAAACTACGTACATATCCCAATCCTACACTACGACGGTAATGTTAATTTTCAATTTCAAGATCTTAGCTCCACTAGTACCTCCAAATTAAATTTGTACCAAATAAAGTACCATATAGTACTTTTCGTACAAATGAGTACACGCTTTCAAAACCATGTTCTTATATCGACCCTACTTCAAAACCCATGTTCTCAATCTTACTTCGGATTCCAAATTTCAAGTTTTTAGCTCTATCGGTAGACATGCTACGAAATTGTACGAAATTTAGTACATTTTAGTACTTTTCGGATACTTATAGTTCGAATGTTCAAAACCCCTTCCCTATATCTATTCTACTATTCATCAGTGACACTCGTTGCAAATTTAAGTGTTCTAGGTTTACCTGTTCGCCAAATACAAATGGCACCACATTTAGTACTTTTCATACCGTTCTGTACCGTTTGGACCAAGAGTGTCCCCCACCCAAAATTTCAAGATTCTAACTTCAGCCGTTTCGTCTGGGCGTTGATGAATCGTTAAATCAATAAATCAGTAAATGGAATACCCAAGATTTATAAATAATAGGTTCGTTCGTTTACTTTCCCAGTAATATTTACTCAGTTAGAATTTGCAGAGAGTAAATACGAATTTTTCCTTCTCAAGTGAGAAAACTACAAGAAGTAAACGAACAACATCCAGTAAAATATTGATTAAAACAACAAACTAATTGGCGCAAACTAAAAAATGGTGTTCCAGACATGTTAGGGATGCACACTTTTTTGTTTGGATTTGGAACCTAAAAAAACGTTCGCCAATTACTCTTGTATTACCTTATTTTTAAATACTTGCGTTTTATTCATCCATTTTGGTATTTAATGATACAAAATCAAAATAAAATTCACAAAACAAACAATCAACGAACAACATTTTGTAATAATTTGTACAAATTCGTACAAATTATTGAGTAAACGAACGAACCTAATGTCACCTAGCAAGAGCTGTTTTTGCTCAAATCTAATGTCAACAATTTTGAGTTTGTTTACGTTTTGATAATGGAAGTCAATTTACAATAATGGATTTTGACAGCAAAATTTAGGAGCAGATGATTTCCAGCTGGTCTCCCAGGATGTCCATAATAATAGCCGTTGGGAGTTTTTGTGCCATAAGATCACCCACCATGGTATAATAATAGAAGGTAACAACAAATGTTGCTGTACAACAACTACATGAAATTTGGCAGAAAAATGTAAACAAACAAACAAATTATCAACAAATTATATTTATTTTGAAAATGAAATTTTTTTGAATCCTCAAAATAAAATTGAAGAACATGAATGAAAATCTATCAAATTTATATTTCTATCGCTTCCACATCTTCCCTATAATTGAGCCATTGCCACTTATATGAGTAACACATATGAAAATGCAGGGAATTGCGAGTTATTCCATGAAGCAAGATTTGCTTCCTCAAACTTTCCCAGCAGACAGATTGAGTAAATTGAATACGGGAGCACATTTATTAAAGAACAATTTCAAATTGTATGCGTTCCCAATTTTCCTCTTGGGTGATTTTAAATGCATAATTTGTCAAATTCATATTGACGGTATTATTACGTTGGAATCAAATCAGCTGGGATTTGCTGTTACCTTTTATAATTGTACCATGAATAATGGAAGTCAATTCATAATAATGGATTTTGACAGGAAACTTGAGAAGCAGATGATTTCCAGCTTATCTCCCTGGATGCCATCAATAGCATTTGGCGCAGCTGATGTCTTGATTAACTGTCATAGTGGGTTATTTCTACTTGAATTCAAGCACTTTGACTGTTAATCAAGACATCAGCTGCCCTAAATGGACTACCTATTCATTCTGCCATGGTTGTGCCATAAGGTCACCCACAAAGAGAACAAACAGCTGATTTTTCTTAACAACTTTGTGTTTCACACTTATTCGTAAACAGTCTTTATTCGTTGTAGTCTTTATCGGCTATTCTCTCCTGGCTCTCCAATTCGTATCACTCAAAAACGTTTTTCAATTAGGTCGAGCATCATTTTTCATTTTGGCTATTTCGTGCTCGTTCACATCAGATGTTCAGCTATTTGATTTTGTTTCTTTAAACTATTGAAAAAGTTTATATAAAAAATAAAGGTAAGTAAATGAATTTAGTGATATGCAACAAATAATGCCCAAGTCATAAAAACCTATCAAGATTTCTGTTATTGGAATCATGTTCGGACAAGCGTGCTAAATACAATGTTTTTGTCTCCTCCTCATCCCCAAAGAAATACAAAGTGCTGATGTAACAGTGTGTGTTTTGTGTGAAATTTTGTTGATTAAAATTTAAAAAAAATAAATAAATTGAATAATAAATTAAAAGAAATGCAAGTTAAAATTAACACGAATGACATACACATAAATAAATCAAAGTTTCTCTTTTGTAGAAACAAATTAAATAAGGAACATTGATTGAAATAGAATCGCAGCAATTCAGGAACCTCAAATCCCCTCACTGCCCCTCTGTAGCCGTCATAAATACGAAGAATAGTAGCAGCAACAACAACAATAGCCGGAAAAACTAAACAGCAACATGTTAAAGCGTTTACAAATCATAAAGCCGGTCATCGGCCAGAGCATGCGTCAAAAGCTTTCCTCCTATGCCAAACAGCCGGGTGGCGGTGCACAAGATATGCGTCCAGCAGCACAGGGTAAAATCAAATTGGAATCTCCCACGGTAATTTCACAAGTTGAGCGAAAATTCCACGAGGGTAAGCAGTACAGCGGTTTCGAATGCATTCGCTGTGAAAATGTACCAGAATTCGGTATAATGTCATATACATTCCGTCACCTGGGCACCGGAACAGAATTATGGTATTTGGATCGCAAGGATAGTAATAATGTGTTTTCGGTCAATTTCCGTACCACACCTTTTGATTCGACCGGTCTGCCACACATTTTGGAACATTGTGTGCTGTGCGGCTCACAAAAGTATCCGGTGCGTGATCCATTCTTTAAAATGCTAAATCGTTCGGTGGCCACATTTATGAATGCCATGACCGGTCCGGATTATACAATGTATCCATTTTCATCGATGAACGAAACGGATTATAGGAATTTGCAGAAAATCTATTTGGATGCGGTATTTAGGTGAGTATTTTGGGAATATTTTTGAAAATATATTTTAAGGCTTGATATTAGCATCATTGCAGGAAAATGCTTGTAGATTAGTATCTTAGGTCTTTGAAAATTTTTTGTTAAACAATCTAGACTTTGGATGTCACTGAAAAATGTTCTATCTCTTGTTGAAAAAATATTTTTTAAAAATTCAAACCTTCTTGAAAAAATAATTTTTAAAAATTCAAACCTTCTTGAAAAAATAATTTTTAAAAATTCAAACCTTCTTGAACAAATATTTTTTTTAAAAATTCACACCTTGAAAAAATATTTTTTTAAAAATTCAAACCTCCTTGAAAAAATATTTTTTAAAAATTCAAACCTTCTTGAAAAAATATTTTTTAAAAATTCAAACCTTTTCGAAAAAATATTTTTTTTTAAATTCAAACCTTCATGAAAAAATATTTTTTTCAAAATTCAAAACTTCTTGAAAAAATTATTTTTTAAAAACAAATCCACGCCTAAAAAATTATTTTTTAAAAACAAATCCACGCCTAAAAAATTATTTTTTAAAAACAAATCCACGCCTAAAAAATTATTTTTTAAAAACAAATCCACGCCTAAAAAATTATTTTTTAAAAACAAATCCACGCCTAAAAAATTATTTTTTAAAAACAAATCCACGCCTAAAAAAATATTTTTTAAAAACAAATCCACGCCTACATTTTTTTTAACAAATCCACGCCTGAAAAATTATTTTTTAAAAACAAATCCACGCCTAAAAAATTATTTTTTAAAAAATCCACGCCCAAAAAAATTATTTTTTAAAAAAATCACGCCTAAAAATTATAAATCAACGCCTAAAAAAATATTTTTTAAAAAATCCACGCCTAAAAAATTATTTTTTAAAAAAATCCCCGCTTAAAAAAATTTCTTAACAAATCCACGCCTAACAAATTATTTTTTAAAAAATCCACGCCTAAAAAATTATTTTTTGAAAAATCGCCTTGTTAAAAAACTATTTTTTAAAAAATTCACCCTAAAAAATATTTTTTAAAGAATCCACGCCTTAATTTTTTTTCCAAAAATCTACTCCTTAAAAAATATTTTCAAAAATCTACTCCTTTAAATTTATTTTTTAAAAATCCAAGCCTTGAAAAAATATTTTTTTAAAAAAAAACAAGCCCGGAAAAAATATTTTTTAAAAAATCCAAGCCCTGAAAAATATATATATTTTTTAAAAATCCACGTTTAAAAAATATTTTTTTCAAAAATCCACACCTTGAAAAAATATATTTTTTTTTTTAAATCCAAGCCTTGAAAAATTCAAAGCATTCTTTGTTCTTGAAAAAGTATTTTTTTAAAAAATCCTCGACTTGTAACTTAAATATTTATTTATTAAAATTTTTGGCCTTTAAAAAATAATTTTTAAAAACATCACTGGCTCTTCATAAAATTTTTATTAAAAAAAATTTAAATCCTTCCAAAAATATTTGTTTTATATTAGTATAACATCATGAATTAAATTTTCTATTTTCTTTTGTTTTTGCAGACCCAATTTGGAATATTTGGACTTTTTGCAAGAAGGCTGGCGTTTGGAACATTCCAATTTGAAGGACAAAGAATCGGAATATGTCATCAAGGGTGTTGTGTACAATGAAATGAAGGGTGCATTCTCGGAAAATTCATCAATTTTCGGACAAAATCTTCTCAACAATTTATTACCCGATCATACCTATGGTTATGTGTCGGGTGGAAATCCCCTTGAAATACCCAAACTGACACATACAAATCTGGTTGATTTCCATCGTAAATATTATCATCCCAGTAATGCTCGCATCTATGCCTATGGATCATTTGATTTGAGCAAAACATTGGCCTGTGTTAACGAGGAGTATCTCAGCAAATATGAACCCATCGATAATAGCTATAGCCGTATACCCAATCAACCGAGATGGAATAAACCACGCAATGTCCATATCTCTAGTCGTTTCGATAATATGGGAGCACCCTTCGAGAAGCAAAATCAAATTGCTATCGCCTTGTTAATGTCCGATGTGACAGATATTCAAGAAACATTTGTCCTGTACGTTTTGTCGGAGCTGTTGGTAAGGGGACCCAATTCACCGTTCTATCGTAATTTGATTGAACCGAACTTTTCGGGTGGTTACAATCAAACCACCGGTTTTGATCCACAAATTAAGGATACATTCTTCTGTGTGGGTCTGCAAGATTTGAAGGTGGATGATTTTGGCAGGGTGCAAGAATTGTTTGATGCCACCGTCAAGGAGGTCATAGAAAAGGGCTTTGATGCCAAACACATTGAAAGTGTTCTACACAATATCGAGTTGTCATTGAAACATCAATCGCCACAATTTGGTTTGGGATTGTTATTCAATTCTACACCGCTGTGGAATCATGAAGGTGATGTGGTACAGAACCTAAGAGTATCCAGTATGATAAGCAATTTCCGTGCGGAATTACAAAATGATTCACAATATTTGCAAAAGAAAATGGCCCATTACTTTGCCAATAATACCCACAGACTGACACTGACCATGTCTCCCGACGATACCTATGAAGATAATTTCAAAACCGCCGAATTGGAATTGTTGCAAAAGAAAATTGTGGCCTTAGATCATGAGAAGAGAACCAAAATCTATGAAAATGGTTTGAAATTGGAAGAAGCCCAAAAGGCGCCACCAAATTTGGATATTTTGCCATGCTTGAAGTTGAGTGATGTACAAGAGGCCCCCAAACTACAACCCTTGGATGTGGTTAAGGTACAAAATGTTCCCACACAAGTGTGTAATGTGCACACCAATGAAATCTCCTATTTCAAGTGTTACTTTGATGGCTCCTCGCTGTCACAAGAAGAGATTTTGTTAATACCACTCTTCTGTAATATTATCAACGATATGGGTACTAAAAATTATGACTATAGAGATTTTGATAAGCTGGTATTATCGAAGACGGCTGGTATTAATTTCAAATTACATTTTGCCGAAAATATCTACGACAGTAAAACATTCGATTTGGGTGTTCTGATGACCACACATGCCTTGGATAAAAATGTTGAGGCAATGTTCGATTTGAGTAAAGAGCTGTTGTTGAATTTCAAAATGGACGACGCGGAGCGTGTTAAAATGTTGCTCGATAATTATATGTCCAACATTTCGGTAGGCATTGCCAGTTCGGGACATTTATATGCCATGCAGTCGTGTGCTGGTTTGGTTACCGATTCGGCTAAATTGAAATCCATGTTGGCCGGTGTGGAACACATTGAGTATATGAAACAATTTGCCACGGACAATAGTATTGAACAAATTATGAGTAAATTAAAGAATTTGGGAGAGAAGCTGTTCAATAAGAAAACAATGCGTAATGCTGTCAACACCTCGGAGGAATTTTATCCCAGCTTTATTCAGGCCTATGAGAAATTCTTGGGTGATTTGCCGGAACAGGCAGTGGAGAAGGGGGAAAATAAAGTAAACCTCTTGGAGCCAAGCTGTCAACATTTTGTGATGAATATTCCGGTTAATTATTGTGCCAAGGCCCTGTTTACTGTGCCGTATACCCATCGAGATCATCCAACATTGAAAGTGTTGGCCAAATTGATATCGGCCAAATATCTTTTGCCTGTGGTGAGAGAACAAAATGGTGCCTATGGCGCTGGCGCCAAAATCGGTTCCGATGGCATCTTCAGCTTCTTCAGTTATCGTGATCCCAATTCCACCAAAACCCTGGAAGCCTTTGACAATACATATCAGTGGTTGCAAGAGAACAATTCACTGTTGAATGAACAAACATTGTTTGAAGCCAAATTGGGGGTGCTGCAACAGCTGGATGCCCCCATTGCTCCCGGAAATCAAGGTATTGATTTCTTCCTGTATGGGGTTAGTCAAGAAATGTTCCTTAAATATAGAGCGCGTATGTTGGCCGTCACAATGAGCGAACTGCAACAGGCCGTGGAGAAATATTTCAAAACACCACCCACATATTATGGCAAATGTTTGTTGGGTCCCGAAAACAAGGATTTGGAAGCTGTTACCAAACTTAAATGGAAGGTTATAAATTAAGGCACACACACGCATCGACTAGATTTTAGTATAGGGCATTATGTGTGTTATGTTTTGTTATTAAAAAAAATAAATACAACTACAAAGGTATTCGTTTATCCAGGTAGAAACAAGACTGACCGAATGTCCCGAATATAATGTGGCCAAATATCGATATAAACGAATTCCATTGTATCTTTTTTGTATGTATCTTCTTTTTTTTGGAAAAATTTTTGTTTTGTGTGAGAGATATATAAGATTTATTAGTATAAGTTTTGTTTTTATTCTGCAAGAATATTGTAATACTTTTTTTCTCCAAACAACGACAAATTAGCCTAACATAAACAATATAAAATAATATCGATTTTTTATAACATCTATTCTTAAATACATTTTGTCCAATTTTGCTCAATTTTAAAATATTCTCCACACACACAGACATATATACTTTAGCTTTAAACATTTCATTTCCTAACAAAATTTTTTTGAAATGCCCCCTTTAACATTTCGATACATTAACAGTCTTGGAAAAAACATATAACTGCACTTGTTGCCAATTAAAAAAAAATAGCACCCCCTTCCCAAAATTCACCAAAATCACACATTTGAAATGAAACTAAAACTAACTTAATTTTAAAAAATAGTTTTAATTGTTATAAGTACTTTCTTTGATAGTCATAACGAAGAATATATCAAATATGTTAATTGAACATTTATGAATGTTATAAAAATAAAAAAAAACAAACAAACGAACATAAATTATGGTTAATAATAAAACGAAAAATGTTAAATATAGTATATCAATGTTGTTGTTTCTTTTAGGAGAATGGAAAGGGAAAATACAATTAAATCGCCGGTAAAGATATAAAGGGAAATAAAAATATTTCTTTAAAAGCTGTCAAAGCTAGTTTGTTTGTTTGCGGTTATTGTGAGCGGAATTTGAGTGGGGCATGTGATGACGAGAATGTGTCTACTGATATTCGTGATTTGAATGAAAAGTTTGATCATTTTATTTCTTCAAATCCGAGTCCGAAATTTTTGCCATAAAGGACATCTTGGATGACATTAAACGTGAGATATCTTCCTGTTTGAGTGAAATGAAAGCAGATATTAGAGACTGCAACAAGAGAATAGATGTGGTTGAGTCAAATGCCAATGCCCAAATTATTAAACGGGATATGCAGAATCATGTCTTACATCGTAGACTGAATAGAGGTGACTTTGGTGTCAGTGGCATGCCTGTTCTTGTTAACATTGCTGTTGCAATTGCAACTTTCCATAAAATTAATTTATCTACTCAAGACGTGACCTATGTGTGTTATATTAACAACCGTAAATTAATTCTGGCCAAGGTCTATAGCGTTCATTTGCGAGATGCAATTATGGCACAGTATTTAAAAACTCGAACACTCAAAATATCTGACATACTGAATGTGATGGTAATGATATTGAGAGCAGAATTTACCTAAACGATCATCACACCCCTGCTGTTAGTTATTGGAATGATATATGCCATTAAATTCGAGTTTCCAAAGTTGTCTCCATAGCTCAATACTACACTTCAACAGTAATCTAAATTCGAAATCTCAGGATTCAACCAAATTCAAATTGTTTCACATTTTGAACTTTTCGTCGCTGTCGGATGTAAGTCCAAATTTGAGAATTCCAGCTCTGCCTGTGCATTAAAACCCATATTGTACCAGATTTGGTACCATTCTGTCCTTTTGAACTACATTCCAAACCTATCTCAATATTCTAAACCTGATTTTAAATAACAATCGTAAGCCGAATATAAGAATTCCAGCTCTGTCTATTTACCAAATTGTACCAGATTTCGTACCATTCTGTACTTTCCGTACCCATATTCGAGTTCTACCCGTTAACTAAAGTCCAAATGTTGTAGTTTTCGTAACCATAAGTACGAATTTCCTAAACTACCTCAGTCATGCACTCCAACAATAAGTCCACATTTAAGTATCAAATTTAGTACCATTATTACTTTTCGTAGACATAAATACAAGTTTTCAAAACGTCTTCAATTCCTCACTCCAATAGAAATTTTAATCATAAATCTCAGGATCCCAGCCCTATCCGTTCATATAGATCCAAATTGTACCATATTTAGTACCATTTAGTACTTTTCGTACTTATGACTTCAAATTTCCAACACTATCTCAAACCTGTAATCTAATAGTAATTTTATTTCCAAATATAAGTTTTCCATCTCTAACATTCACTCAAATCTAAATTATACCTAACTTGGTACCATTTAGTACACATAATTACGCGTTTTCAAAACTACCTTCATGTCTCAATCCTAGACTCCAACTTTAATTTTAATTCCAATTTTTTGGATTCCCGCTTACACAAAACGAATTGTACCATATTTAGTATTCTCGTATTCATAAGTACGAAATTCCAATCATTTTCATTTAAAATTTAAATTTTCCATCTCTCTTCGTTCACCCAAATCCAAATTGTACCAAATCTAGTGCCGTTTAGTACTTTTCGTACACATAAATACAAATTTCCAAAGATGTCTCCATAGCAAAATCTTCAACAGTAATCTGAATTCCAAATTTTATGTTTTTAGCTCTATCCGTTCAAGCAAAATCCAAATTGCATTAATATTGTACCATTTATTACTTTTCGTACCAATAAGTACGAATTTCCAAAACTACCTCAATCCTATGCTGCAACAGACATTTAATTCCCAATTTCCAGACTCCAGCTCTATCTGTGAACCGAAATCCAACTTGCACCAAATTTAGTACCATTAAGTACTTTTCATACACATAAGTACAATTTTTTTTAAATCTACCTCAATCCTGTACTCCAATAGTAGTCCTAATTCCGATGTTCAGTATTCCATCTCTATACACTCAAATAAATGCAAATAGTACCAAATTTAGTACCATTTTGTACTTTTTATAAACATAAATACGAATTTCTTAAATCATTTCCATACATCAACATCACTTTCCAACCTTTATTCCGTATAAAATTCAAGATTCTAGCTATATAATTACAAGCTTCTAGTCACAGCCGTTTCGCTTGGGCGATGATATGTCTGTCAGTCAGTCACTCACTTAACACTAAGCTCTTTATTCCCTACACAACTATGTTGTCAGGATATTATAGCTTTGTGTAGCCCCAAATGTTTGTAACGCCGCGAATTAATGGTCCTAGACCCACCTTTAAGTATACCGATCGTCATATCTCGACTAGCTGAGTCAATCTAGACATGTGTGACCGTCCGTCCGTCTGTCCATTATAATTTGTAAACACGATACAGGCCACAGTTATGGACCAATCTTCATGAAATTTTGCATGTAGGATGGGTTCTGGCCAATGAAGACTCCTATTGTTTTTGGAAAAGATCTGTTAATATTTAGGGGATAAAATGGACCAAAAACTTTATTTTTGTCGATTTTTCTGGTCGCTCCAGAGGCCGCAATTATGGCCCAAACACCCCGAATTTTTGCATGGAGAAGTGGATCGGTCCAAAGAATAAGTATGCCTATTTTTATATAGATCGGTCAATATTTAGCGGGTCAAATAGACCCTGACTTTTGTGTGAAAAATGACAAAATTTGTATTCTATGGCGTATATATTTACCCCTGAAGGACATATACCCGAGAAGTTGATACTATATTCAAGAGGAGTGGTTGACCTTTAAATTGATACCAATTATATGGTCGTATGTATTCGGATGTGGGAGTTACACATAAATATTTACGGGTGCTTACCTACTGAGATATTATTTAGTAACCCATTACCACACTGGAGGGCGGAATTGTAGCGCTGATCGCTTTCAAAATTTCCATGAGATTCCAGTTATGGTCAAGGACAACGCCTATAATTTTCAGTGATGATCACATAATCATTTTGGGATGAAATGGCCCAAAAACATAATTTTTTGTGTTGTTTTCGATTCGATCTATAGGCGGTGAAAGGAATATGGACAAGTAATTAGAAGGACTGAATATTAATAATATTCGGAAAATATGTCAGTGTAAGGAAAAAGTGCTGTTGACCTCTAATCGGCAAAGCGGTGCAAATATCAGAAATATTGCCCAGGCTCGAAATAAACATCAGCAAAAAGTTAGAGTTCCGTGATAATTGTGTAGATTATCCTATGGTCGGCCCCGTCCGACTATACTGTTGTCGGACGCCTTGTTGTTGCTTTAAAAACTATTTTTTTTAATTGTCCCCTTTTTAAAAAAAAATTAAAATTGTTTCCCTTTCTTCCAGATATGAGTCTACCGGTTGGCTTTAAAACCCCAGAGGATTACTTCAAAGAAACCCTGGACTTTTTAAAAGAATATTCCTGGATATATCAGGAGGCGAACACCTGTTTTATAAAATCCAATATTTTGTCAAAAATGCCCAAAGAGTTTCGTAATTATTTCCAGAATATAAATAACCATGACCTAAATCAATTTCCACTTGTGCATCTACCCCTTAAGGCAGAACCAATGCTAATGGAATTTCGCCGGCGCCTAAGTTCATTAATACCACAAGAAGCCTTTGCAGATCCACCACCCTTGGAAGAGATGTCTCATTTTAAAACCGAAAACTTTAGGAAAATGAATTTGAAAAAGCGTCATGAAATTTTACGCTTAGCCCAAGCCATACACACACAATTACAACCAAGAGAGAAGGAGCAGTCGCAGCAGCAGACTGCGGAATCAGATCAAGAGAAAGTGGTTCTAATTGACTTTGGTTGTGGTTTAGGTTATCTAAGTGAAATGCTTTATAAACTTAATCACAACTATCTAATTTTGGGTTTAGAATCTGATCCTGTACGTGTGGAGGCAGCAGAGAAACGCCTGGAGGCCTATATGCCCGGGGCAAAGGAGGCCATACACTATCGCCAGCAATTTATTACCGAGAATTCTAAAGATTTTATAAATGAAAGTGTAACAGAACTTTTACAATCCAATTATTGCCCCCGGCAGGATACATTACGCCAGCCTACGACACAGGCCATAATTGGTTTACATGCATGTGCCGACTTGACAATTACCTCGATGAAACTTTTTCTCCGCATGCCTCAAGTACGTCATCTGATAATCATGCCATGCTGCTATCACAAAATGCAAATGTGTGCGGGCACAATGAAGTTTCACAATTTCCCCTTGAGTCGCCGCTTGCAAAAGGTAGTAGTGCCGGACGAGGACGACGACGACAAGGCATCTGACAGTAGTGTCATCAATAATTATTCCAGTTATTTAAATCGACCATTCCTACGTTTGGCCTGTCAACAGACATTGAAACGTTGGCACAAATGCACCGTCGAACAACATTCCCGCCACGCACGCGAAATGTTCCTCAGAGCAATGGTGGAGGCATTGCCGCATAAGGAAACGGAAATTGTGGTTAAGTGCAAGGAAAAAATCGATTTATTGAAGGAGAATATATTGGATTTTAATACCATTCGACATTTGTATCAGTTGCAAGAGACCAGGGATGTAAGCAGGCGGGTGGTGGTGGATTGGTCTGAGGAACATGTAAGGGAATTTTATATGCTAGTGGCCAAGTATGGGGACGGTGAAAAATTAGCCGAGGGTCTAACATGTCTGCAGACAGCGATACAGGTATATATGTATTTTTTTTTAATAATAATTTTCTATAGAAAAAAAACAGTAAGGAAAGTAGTAAAGTCGGACTGGGCCGACTATATGATACCATTCACCTCTTTGGGTATATTCTACACAGTCTCCTAACAGGCGTCTCCTTTTCGTCGCAACATTGACATGAAATTGAACGAATGATATATAAGAACGTTAGTGCAGCTATATCTAAATCTGAACAGATTTTTACGAAACTTAGCACACATCAATATTGTGCATATCGGAAGATATTTAAGGCCTTTGTCGGACGAAAATATATATGGGAGCAATATCTAAATCTGAACCGATTTTCACGAAACTTAGCACACATCATTCTAGACTTAATTCAGTGCGCTATGCCAAATTTCGTGCATATCGGAAGATATTTAGGGCCTTGGGCTCACCATTTACCTTAAATCGGAGTAAAATATATATTGGAGCTATATCTAAATCTGAACCGATTTTCACGAAACTTAGCACACATCATTCTAGACTTAATTCAGTGCGCTATGCCACATTTCGTGCATATCGGAAGATATTTAGGGCCTTTGGTTCAACATTTACCTTAAATCGGACGAAAATATATATGGGAGCTATATCTAAATCTGAAACGATTTTCACGAAACTTAGCACACATCAATATAGACTCAATTAAGTACGCTATGCCACATTTCGTGCATATCGGAAGATATTTAGGGCCTTTGGTGCACCATTTACCTTAAATCGGACGAAAATATATATGGGAGCTATATTTAAATCTGAACCGATTTTCACGAAACTTAGCACACATTAATATAGACTCAATTCAGTACGCTATGCCACATTTCGTGCATATCGGAATATATTTGGGCCTTTGGCGCACCATTTACCTTAAATCGGACGAAAATATATATCGGAGCTATATCTAAATCTGAATCGATTTTCACGAAACTTAGCACACATCAATATAGACTCAATTCAGTACGCTATGCCACATTTCGTGTATATCGGAAGATATTTAGGGCCTTTGGCGCACCATTTTCCTTAAATCGGACGAAAATATATATGGGAGCTATATCTAAATCTGAACCGATTTTCACGAAACTTAACACACATCATTCTAGACTTAATTCAGTGCGGGACTTTGCTTCACCATTTACATAAAATCAGTGCGTTATGCCAAATTTCGTGCAAATCGGAAGATATTTAGGGATTTTGGTTCACCATTTACAAAAATCGGACGAAAATATATATCGGAGCTATATCTAAATCTGAACCGATTTTCATGAAACTTAACACACATCATTCTAGACTTAATTCAGTGCGCTATGCCAAATTTCGTGCAAATCGGAAGATATTTAGGGACTTTGGTTCACCATTTACATAAAATCGGACGAAAATAAATATCGGAGCTATATCTAACCGATTTTCACGAAACTTAGCACACATCATTGTAGACTTAATTCAGTGTGCTATGCCAAATTTCGTGCAAATCGGAAGATATTTAGGGCCTTTGGCGTCTTTGGGTCTTTTTTTAAATATCCACCCATTTTTGGTCCTTAAAAATATTTATTTATTGTTTAATATTCAATATTTTTAATATCCTTTCCTTTATTTTTTCTTACAGAAATTATGTGAAAATTTGGTTCTTTATGACCGTTTGTGTTTTATGGAAGAAACAGCTGCCGAATTGAATTTGAACATTTATGTACGCTATGAAAAACTGATGGATGAAGAATTATCGCCACGATGTTATGTTTTAATTGCTGAAAAATTATAATGCGGGATTTAAATTCAAATTTTCATAACAATTGTAAATATTTGCTTCAGCAGAAAAAAAATAAAACTTTTTTGTACTTTTTAATTAATTGAAACGTTTCTCAATGACTCTGGGAAAGGTGTTAATTAATGGAATTCACAATCTTGTGTTGTTGTGTTCTGTTGTCATTTGTTGTAATTAACATTTGTCAGGGTGATGTAGAAGAAAAAATGCTGGGTAATTATCAAATTACGAGGAATAAATATTATTGTGCTAGCATATGGCCGCTACTTCGTTAACGAATGTGGGAAATATTTAAACATGTATTAACATATTATTTTTATAGAAAACTGCATATGCCAGAACTACTAAGCAATCCACATATTAATATCGACAATAAATTAAATTTGAATACTATTATTTCGCGGAGAGAAAAAGTTGTTCTACGTCGGTTGTTTGTGCTACACTGGAGTAAACCATCCTAGGGGATCAAAAATCCTCGCAATCAGCGACAGGATTTTCCTCTTGGTGAACTTGGAAATTTCTTCGAATTAAATTTGAAATTTAAATTCGTCTTTTACTGGATCCCATAAAACGCCTAAAGTTTTTATGGACTCGTCATCTTCAATTTTTAGCACCTCATTATTTCCTCTATCCGCTACGGCACCCAAGACTCTTTCGTCATTGGACAGCCATTTTCGTAGGTTGAAATTATACCTCTTTAATTGACTGGAAACCTTTGCCACAATTCTTCCGCATTCTTCTATGGAATCTGCACCTGTCATCAGGTCATCCATATAAAAGTCTTCTCTTATTATTCTCTTTATTTGCGTATCAAGTTCTGGATCATGTCCAATCTTAAATAGTGTCCTCACTGCTAAGAATGGTGCTGCCGTTGTTCCATATGTCACTGTCGTCAACTTATATTGCTGAATCGGCTGGCTCTCCATTTCCCTCCATAAAATATATTGATACTCCTGATCAGCCGGATGCACCTTTATCTGATTTTTTCCACGTCTGCCGTTACCACATAGAGGTACATTCGCCATTGCAGCATGATGTCAGCTTAGGGCCTTCTTCCATTTGTGGATTTCGCTGACGCATCGAATACCACCCGCACTTTCGTAGTCAAACTACCTTCTCGTATCACTGAATGATGAGGCAAGTAAAATTGTCCTTTACATTCTGATGACACCTTTTCCATATGACCTAAGTCTTGGTGCTCCTTCAAAATTTCTCTTTAGCGGCCTCGCAGATAAGGGTTGCGCCGTATATTCTTTTCTTGCTGTTGCCAGTGAGTGATTTATCTTATTTCAACGGCAATGGCACCACTGCTCGTTCATCATCTTCTATTGCTGCCGATTCGTCATACATCTGTATACACCAGTCATCTTCCACCGCCGGACTTGCTGGCGTTTCCACCTCCTCGATCTCCCAAAATCTTTTCAAATTAGTCACGGCTGAATGATATCTTCGGGACTTATTTTTCAGTTGTACCTTGCCGGATAAAATCCAACCTAATTTAGTTTTCTGGGCAAAAGGTCCATTATCCTTTCTCTGGCCTTCTTCCATTAGCTCGGAATACAGATCGCCGCCGATGATCAAGTCCACTCTGTCTGACTTGTTAAACAACGAATCTGCCAATGTATAATTGTTGCATTCTTCTACATTGGCCTCGAATGATATCTCTGGATGAGCACTCATCACTGATGGCAGCACGAATGCCTCGGTGCGAAAGATTTCGTTGCTTAGAAATCGAGGCTTCACTTCTATCTTAACTTATGCCTGCTGTCCAATCCATGAATTATGGTATTATTTTGATTCGTGGAAGTCCAAGAATCTGAGCAGCTTCCTCTGATATCGATGTTACCTGCGACCCTAGGTCGATAATCGCCCTCATTCTTACATCCTCTCCGGTCATCGAGCGTACCTTCACTTGCGCTGTAGCGAGTAGTACAGTCGAAGTACTTTCCTGCGTCATCATCGTTGCTTTCGTAGCGCTTGATTCCTTCTTCATCTCATTATTTTTGTACTTCTTTTGCTCATCAACGTGCAGTAATGTATGATGTCTTCCAATGCATGTTTGACACCGTCTTTTACTGAGACATCTGCTGTCCATCTTGTGATTAAGGCAACTACAGCAAACTCGCCATTCATTGGCCTTAGCCATCCTTTCCGCTGATGTCATTGCTAAGAACGCTCGACATTCTACCATTTTGTGTCCTAGTCGATTGCTAACATGGCAAGACTCTTGCGATTGGCTGACTCTTTTTTTCGAATTTTATGGCTCTATTTTTATCGAAGATTGACCTGCTGCTTCCAACGCCAAATATTGTTGCTCCAAGAACTGGAACACATCCTCTAACTTCTGGATCTCTCTTGGCTTCCTAATTTGTTGTTCGTACAATCTGGATCCATTCTTATCAATTTTTCTCTTCATTGATCGAAGGCCCTGAACGCTGTTTTTAGTTGTATCTAGCATTTTCTTCACGCTGGCAGCAGATTCACTGTCCATAATTGGCTGGTCCAAAATGGAGTCAACAAATTTATTAAACAGTACTCTCCGATTCTCGTACCTGTCCTTTAGCAAATTCATTGCTTCCTCATACGCGTTATCTTGCGTTCTCAGATGTTGTATAATACGCTGTCTTTAGCCTATACATTCTCTCCGCGTTAGTGTAGCACGGCTCATCGTGTATTAGGCTTTTAAAAATGTCATATAAATGACTCCCATTCGCTAATCTCTCCACTGAATGGAGGCACTTCAATCTACTTTTTGTACATTACGCTGTGGGGGTGATCCACCCTTTCTGTGTCTATTGGCTGAAGTTGTTACATGGTTTTCGCTATTTCAGATTTCTTCTGTAAAACCTGTAACCATCTTGCACTAACGACTGCATTTCTTCTTACTTCCCGTTCTGCGGTATCCACCAGGTCTCCAACATACCTAAATGCGGACTCCAGATCCTCTATTGTATGTATGTTATGCGTCATTCCCATCACTTGATCTATATTTTCTAGTAGAGCTCTTGTCTCTAATTGAATTTCGGTCGGTGCCGAGTCTAGTTTTGGCTCATCGCCTAGGGTGAGGACTCCATAGCCTCCTCGCTTCTCTCTGCAGCCGCAATGCTCAGATTAGAAGCTTCCCCGACCTTTCTACTCGCCGTCACCGCCATTTTCCTCACCGCAGTCTTCTTCTCCTCCAGACTGCATTTCTGATGTTTCTGCTTCCGCATTTTTTATGCTTATGGATCAATATTTTAATATCTTCCACAAATTTTTGAGTTTCCGCAAAAACGGTTTTCTCAAAATAATCACCTCGCACTATGTCGCGAGTTCATATAAATAGCGGCCAAAAATAGAAGGAGTTATCGTATGTTAATGAAATTTGGTACACGTGCTTATTATTGGTCTAAAAAGCAACTGACAAAAAATTAGATAGGTCGGACCAAGATTTGGTATACCTCCCATATAATGGGTCTTGAGAATGTCACCCTTTTTGGCCTATAAAATCTTCAATATTCAAACAAATTCAATGAAAATTGGCAATTTACATTTACTTATGCCTATAAAGCAACTGACCAAAAACTGGGTAGATCGGACCATGATTTGATATACCTCCCATACAAAGGGTCTTGAAAACTGTACTATTTTGGACTATAAAAAATCCGATTTTTGGACCTATAAATTGTTTATATTCATCCAAATTCCACGAAAATTTTCATGTCTTCGTCCAAATTACATCAAATTTGGGCGAAGACAGTAATAGGTGTTGTAATTTAGTTGTTGGCCCATATTTCAGGTACCTACCATACCAAAAGTCCCTAAAAATTAAACTTTCTGTACTATAAAATCGTTATATGCAGCTAAATAAAGTATAGTAGTTTTATTTTTGTTATTTTTATTATAATATAAAAGACATTTGATATCGTTTAATAACTAATAAATAATTTTTTATCATTCACAACATTTTCAAAACACACATCAGATATATATATATATATATATATATATACATATAATATTGTCTTCCCAAATGTACGATTTAGTATCATCCACATTATAATCTCGGACCTTTACCTTATGGCTGTTTAAGGATATTACAAGGTCGGTTTGTAATATATAATACTAAATAAAATCCTTATTTAACTCGGCTTTAACAAAAGTTCGGGCTGCTACTAATTTTTTGTTGGCATGACTTGTTAGCACCTTGTGAAAGTCGCTCAAAAGGTATTGTACTGCACTTTGCGTATCCCATGCTAGAACTAATATTTTTATGTATGAACTTTCCACAAAGGTAATTCATGTGCGGCCTCTAAATTAAGATTATACGATTATGTCTCAAATGATCTGATAAATAAGTATAATCTTCAAACTGACTGAAAATTTTGTTTAAAATCTATATTTTAAAACCAATTCTCCCATATCTACCCTTCGAATAACGTTTTTACCACTTAAATGCATATTTTATGTAAAATATTGTATTATTACTATGTTCTGAATCCAATTTCTCCTTCCTATTTGACCCTCAATAACTTATTTAATTGTATACATAACATATTTGACCATCCGCTTCTAACCATTTCGTGAATATGCCATCTTTTTTCAAAAGGTGATCACCAAAAAAGTTAAATAACTCTTAGGACCGCAGGACTCCGCAGCTAATTTTTTTATTCCTTAAATAATACACTTTTCACCACTCAAATAAAAAAAAATTAGAGCTAACCTTTTTTAAACATTTTTTTTATGCTCCACTAATATCAAAATTTGTTTTACAAATTTGATGAACTAAGTACTACAAGTGTGGACGACTGTATACACCATATGATATCTATATACATACAAACTGCAGCGAATTCTAGTTTTTAACATCCACAGCAACCAAAATAAACACTTTTATAATAACCGTTAATTTGAATATTCAAATATTTGAGCATCAGAAAAACACACCCATTTTTCGAAAATATGGTAAAAAATCAGTTTATAAATAATTATCAGATTTGAACCTTTGTAGAGACAAA